TGTGTGTGTGTGTATTGATGCCAAGGAGGCCAGAGGCCAGAGGTGTAGGATTCTCTGGAACTAGAGTCATAAGTCACCTGGTGTGTGTGTGTGTGTGTGTGTGTGTGTGATCTGACCTCAGTTGGTGTGCATTAAATATTAAAGGTGCCATCCAGCATTCTAGAAAACTCTTCACTGTGTAGGTGAGGTAAGCAAATTGCAGACACCAAGGCAGTTTACCCAAGGTAAACGTTACCCCTGAGAGGGGAGGCCTGGAACTCAGCCTTCCTGCCCTGTGCCTTGTCCTCTGTGTTTTAAGGAGAGCATTCAGGGACTCGGGGAAGTTGCTCCCTGCCAGCCAGAAACGGAGGTGAGTCCACAACTTAACAATGTCATGAAGGCCTAGCAGATGAACAGCAGCCCTGGCCACGCCCCAAATATTGTGATGTAATTCAAAGAGACTCCACTGAGTATAAAAAACTAAATGAATCCAGTTTGTCTTTGTCTTAACTAAATTACAAGGATTTCTTGTCAGAAACGGAGACCTTAGCCTCAGTCTTTTCCATCTGAGGATCTGAAATCTTGGAAGGCTTTATATCACCTGAGCAGTTGTTTTTGGTGGGAATGTGGTATATAATAGGTTTCAGATCACAGATGCCAAACACTGCCAACGTTTTCCCCAAATTCAAATATCTGTTTGATATCTGTCTGACACTAACTACGCCCCAGAAGGTCTATGAAGAGCGCGGGGAGGGGAGATCAGGGTTGTGGAACCAGAAGTGACTGACACGCTAAGAGAGGGCACTGACCTCTGACCCACCCCTTCTCACGTTCGAGGTTTCTTTTACTCCTCCGCCTGCCATCAAATGCTGCCTCGTAATTTTTCCCTAGAATTCTGATCAGTTGCTGTTGATCTCCCCTTCACTACCGCACTATGAAGACTTCAGAAAGACAGAGTTTTCTTTTTATCTCCTCGTCCTCAAGACGAAGACAAGGCCGGACACACGTTGGGTGCTTGCTCTTGGAGGTGGGGCTTTGCCTTCTCAGACATACCGTCTTCCTTCACAGTGAGCTGACCCGGGGAGTCCACAGAGAGGAGAGTGGTGTGGGACTCCAGCAGGGGAAAGATGTCATTCAGCTGTTCTCTGGTGATGTCGCAGTCAACAAAAATCTCCAACTCTGAGTTTCTTCGATTTGATTTCCGGGACTCAATATGTAACAGGTTCACGTGGTTCTCCTGTATGAAGCAGAGGGTAAAGATTGAGTGGCCCTGCCTTGGATGCTAATAATCTTTGAGAAGAGTACTTTCATTAGCACTGGAAAAACAATTTAACACTTGTCAGAATTAGCTCAAAGGGCGGAAGAAAGTGTTTTTAATGCTGCTAATGGCAAAATAATTCCCTCCTGCAATATGTAAGATTAAATGAAAGTGTGAAAACTCATCATAAGTGACAACTACAGGAGGTCCTCCAATCAGTCGGGGTTGGTTAGAATTCAGACCTAATCACCAAACGCTGAGTTGGGCATGATGGTGCATGCCTATAGTTCCAACACTTGAGAAGTAGAAGAACCCTGAGTACAAGGTCTTCCTCTGCTACATAGTGATTTTGAGGCCACCCTGGCTCTACTCTACATAGTTTCCTCCACCTCTCTCTCTCTCTCTCTCTCTCTCTCTCTCTCTCTCTCTCTCTCTCTCTCTCT